AGACAGCGATTAGAAACAAGTTATTTGACCTATTTTCTAGACTCACTCGACAGCAGGTTTAGAGGGCTTTTCAATTCGAGTGGTAGCTTTGTTTGTGGAAAAGTTTAGATAAAAACAGACATCGTTTCTTTGATAAATGTTGTAAACGGTACGAATCGACAAAATTACTCATTAATTAATTAACTGCTCGGAACAAAAACAACAAAATGAAATACTTTAAATTTGTTTTAAATGTTCCAATTTCGATATTCAAATGGGTGAAGACTTAAAACTACAATTAAATCAGATGCATTTATTTACAATTTGAGTATCGTGTCGGTTATAAAACGTTAATGCATTTCGGGGTCGTTGTACTGTTAAACAAACGAGACAATTTTAATAATTACAGAAATCTGTTTATAGATATAAAAATGCAATATTAATAATAAAATATTTAAAATTATTCATTTCGACAGTAATAAGATGTCGAAATAATTCCTTAAAAATCTATTCCGAAGACGAATTTCGAATTCGGTATAAATTTTCTAAATATGGATTTGTTCATATTTTAAATCGTATTGGCGACGAAATTAAATATCGAAATGGAAAAGGATTGTCATTAATTGCCGAACAATGATTTTGACGGCCGTAAGCTTTCGGAATATAGCTGACGACCATTTCTGATGTCACGAAGAAATAACCCGATTGGCCGAACGACTCCTAAAACAGGGGAGTAATAGCGAAGTAAGTAAGAGCCAATGTTTTGCCGAAGTTCGTTTAGAGAACGGCCAGAAATAGAAGATCGTCGTCTTTGCAACGCATTTTAAACTGCGGTTCAGCCAGCCAACGACTATAGGCCGTTCGTTGATAAACGTCGTTTAATGTAAACTTTGTCTCTGCAATCGGCCGATTAAGTCAAGACATCACGAGTGATCGACCAAAATTGACTTTGCGATCGACTTGTTGGCCACCCCTGTATTATAATAAGTATAATTTGTAATTCTAATCTTCCTACAGTCGGTACTATGGAAGAAGTTTTAACAACTCAACGCAATTAGACAGGAAAGTCCCTTTAAAAAGTCTATTCTATAAGATTTCCCGATGAAACTAAAACTCTCAAAAAATTCAATACAAATAATATTAAGAAACACAGCATGTAAAACAGATAAAAAGTAAATTTAGAAGCATTTATAACTAACAAATAAGTTAAATATGCGAGTTTATTTAAACATAAATAATCANTATTAATAAAATGAAAATAACTTACGTATTTCTAATTACAAATTTACCTATATAAAATAATGAAGAAGTCCCATAAACGAGCTACCTGTTACAGAGAAACGTCACTCTCTTCCGAACGTGAATATGTTACACCAGGCCTGTGTTACACTGATAATAATTTCCTGATTTATTCAGTAAATGTTTTCCCATACTTCTTTTTTGGCTCCCCCGTATTTTACTAGCATGAGAATCGAAAATTTTCTGTTATATTTGAACAGATGAGGTAAGTTAGCTCTCCTACGGCTTCATATCCATATTCCCCTGAATCGTACATCAGAACGTCCCGAGAAAGCTGATACCAGATGTTCTCAAAGGCGAGGCAGCCCGAGTGTACCTCAGTACGTACAGTACACACTTGACCTTGCTTCCCGTTTCTTGTTATTTAAAAAATATTATCAATAAAAACTTTTACTACTTTTTGTTACTTTTTATTTATAACAATTAATATTAATAATACAATCATCAAATTTATAAATTTATTAACTAAAATTTAAAACTTAGCAAAATTTTCTCAAAATCTGTTTGGATTAATTTTAACTATCTACTATCTATTCGGAATCTACTATGAAAAATCAACTATTGGACAGTTGAAGAAAAAACTCCTAATAAGGTCATGAAAAAAACCAGGACAAATCCTCTAATAAAAAAAAAAGGTCGATGAGTTGAAAGCGGTCGTCCAGTTTTTTCTTGTACTGTGAACGTCCAGCCGCTCGCTATTGCCGATGTTAGCTGTCACCACTCAAGAGAATTCGTCATCACCGAAGAAAAATCGTTGCCGCTTTGTTATTTGAATGACACTGGTTTTCATT